TAGTAGTAGTAGTAGTAGTAGTAGTAGTAGTAGTAGTAGTAGTAGTAGTAGTAGGATTGATATTTGAAGCGTTTGTTTGATTTTCCTTTTCTGCTGCTTTTTGTTTCCTGTTGTTTATCTTTTCCATTTGAACTCCATAACATGCACCTGTTATTTTAATTCTGGGGACTTTCTGGTTAAATAAAATAAAACTCAAATATAAGATTTATTTCAAGTGTTCTGTTTCCAGTGATCTTTTTTTTATTTTTCAGTTTACTTGGTCTCAGTTTGTTTCCTGTGCTTCCTGCACTTTTTCTAGTTTGCTCAGCTAGTTTCTGCTCCTCTGTCTTTCCATGTCCAGCTTTACCTGTTTCTATATCAGCTCCATTTAAACCTTATAGTCTGTGTCATCCTGGTCTGTCTATCTCTGTGACATGAGGAACAACAAACAAAACGAATTTTGTTTTAAACAATGACATGTCTTAAGTATAGTATTATTTTAGGCTTTATGAAATATTTTTTGAAATGTTGTGGTTCTAGTTTGTTGGTGTGTATGAAAGCATTTTTTTTCCATGCATGTCATTAGCTCAAGAAAACCCTGCAAAAATTATACGTGGAAAACGTTTGCTCTCAGCTTCCATACAAAGCTGTATTCTTGGCCAAGCAAGTTATTTTGTTGCCCAACTCCACCCACAATATACCCATCTAGGCTTTCATTAGATGCCTCCATGTTTATTATTTAATCTACCTAAATATACATGGATTTGGACCAGATTTTCAAAATTATTATTCATCTTCTTGGATGCTTCTTTCTCAAGTGATAAGAGTGTTCCTGTGGAGGTGTCAACATACAATATACTGGAGACAGGCACAACAGCTTTGTGGGCATTTGGAGAGAAACCTTTGAACACATTTTTGAACATGTGCAAAGCTCAAGTTTCAGCCCTGCGCACCTCTGCAGCTCTCAAAAGATCATTGAAAATCACAAATGCTGAGAGGCCATTATTTCCTTACAAACCTGTGAGATAACACTCCCATGACACAGAGAGGAGAAGCAGGTATGGAAAGATGGATTAGATGAAAAGATTTCTGATCAGACCTGTTCTCTGGTCATTCAACCTGATTGTCTAACTGCAACCTCAGCTGAGGAGAAATGCAGGGCCTAAATGAAATTACACTGCAACATTTGTGGCTGTGTTTTTGTAAAATTTGGAAAAAAAAAGGTTGTGAAAACTTTATGCAAAGACTTTTGTAGGGGTATAAACAAAAAACAAAACAAAACAAAAAATCCCACCCGTCCTCAAAGCGTTAGAGGCTCCAACACACATTTCACTTACAGTTTATATAGATAATAATGAATTAGCTCCATTATTAATTGATCAGACATGAATTTATGAACGCTATGTAGGTTTTTGTGAAAGACAAAAACAACAACAAAACAACAAAAAAACAGTAGACTTAATAAAAACTGTGCAGTCTAGAGCCAACGCCACGAAGGATCTTAGTTTTAAAACACTTCTGATAGTTATGTATAGTTTTATTGATGATGATTTATAATTAATTAATTAATTAATTAATTAATTAATTAATTAATTAATTCATTAATTAACTGGAAGTAGTGTTTCCGTTTTTTATGTCTGAGAGCTTGTGGTTATTAGTTTTTTTTTCCCTACTCTCTGCCTCTGCAAATAAGCTTTTTGGTACCACTTTACAATAAGGCTCTCCTTATAGATGGCTTATAAATACTATATAGATATGTTATTTATTTATCTGTAAACACTTTATAAATCATTGTTAAGTGTTTATCATGCATTAATTAAGGACGAGAAAGAGACAAAACTGTCCGGTTTGAGGTCAAATAGTGAGTCAAATCTGTTCATGTACATATTACATCTAAAGTGCTATATTAAACATTTCACACTAGGTTAACTTGTAAACACAATAATGTATTGGAAACACATATTTTACATATAATATTGCACTGTATTATACATACC